ACAGTGATGCATCCTCGACTATGATACGTCTTCTAGGACCGGTGACCTCGACGAGGATTCTCTCCTCCCCACCCAAAATCCTCATTCTCCGGCTGGTTATGAGTCTAATGTCTTCGAATGACTAGGTGATTAATTCAACGCTTCGACTTCCCTCTCTTCACAGGCTTCTTCTCTGGCGAATCCTCTTTGACAGCTTGTTCATCAGCATTGAATGGTTCCTGAGGGGGTGGACTTGCTCCCGCCTCCTGCTTTCGCTTTGTAGCACCAGATGCAAAATCCGTAGAAGTGACTTGATTGGCTTCGAATAGGCCGATGTAAGTAGGGATTCAAGGACGAAAGGAAGAGGACACACCAATGTCATCTAAAGCTTGTCCAACTCCGAGAATATTCATGTACTCCTCCTCCGGCTCCCCTGGAGCGCTTGACGCAAGGGATGCGTAGTCTGGGATAGTACTCATGCGAACAAGTTGCAAAGGAACGAGCTCGGTCCACCAGTACTGTTTTGAGATAACAGACGCTACTTTGAATGTCATTTTGATAATGTCGCCAGGGTTGAATGTATCAGGTGAACTGTTTCTAAGAAATTTGATCTTGCCGTCCACTGCATCATATAACATTGCTCGCTCTGGGTTGGGTATCCAGGCGGGGTTGTGCGGGGCGACGTTACTGGCTACCCAAGGATGGACCCAATACGGTATATTGTTAGCGTGCCTCTGGTTGAAGGTAGTTCTCCGGGAAAAAATCTTGCTCGAAGTGATAAAGCGATGATTTGTGGTGGGATCATTGGCACTTTGCCATACGCGTTGAGGCTTGTTCGTCGGGTTATGGTCAGGAAAGCTTGATACCCACGAGTCGATGCACTATAAGAAGACATGTAAGAATCGTCAGTTTTGACTTTGGACCACCTGCCTTCATGGCCTCGTAAATTGACTTGTCAGATGCCGTATCAAACGCGTACGAGGTCTCGCACATGAACGACGGCTCTCTTTTTCTATTCGCCGGTTGACCGTGTGTTGGTCACATTTGGTTAGACTTGGTAAAGGATGGTTACACTCACACGCGGCCTTCGGTAAGACCGTCGGGGATCGTTTCGCCTTCCGGTACAAAGTTCCCGGTGTCGTAAGGAGTTCCCCAAGTCCACACAAACATATGGGTAAAAATCGCAGTTCGGTCGTTGTTATTATCGTGCACCTGGACATGAAAGGTTAAAGAAGAATGGGTCGAATGAGAAGGACTAACCTGCCACCGGGTCAACGAGAATTTCGGTCGTTTCAAAACAAATCGACCCTCATCCTCTTCGAGGCTTTTGACGAATTCTGGTAGGAGAACTTCCGAAGACCGGAAGCGCACTGATTTCCAGCGAGCAAGTTCCTGAGTGACCATGTTTGCGGGCATTTCTTTGTGTCGGACGGTCCTCCACCCTGCAGCTTTTAAGTCTCTGAAGGTATTGCACAACAAACGTAATTTGAAGAAACTTTCATCGATCGATATTCCAGCTCAAAAAGCCTGCGGATAGGCTTTCACTACGCCATCCCCACGGGTCCCGATCTCGTCTGTCATTCTCGTCGTACCTTGAATACTTCCAGCCACCACAAGTAACAGCACTGAGTTGTTGTCTCCCTTTTGAGATGGTGATTACGGAATCTTTGAATGATTCTTGAAGACGATCGGCCTCATCCATATAACCTTTTATTTGAACTCTAAACCTGCGACCTCTGTTAATCTGGAGGGACGTAAGCTTAGGAAAAGCTTGTTCTCGAGCGATAATGACAGCCAAGACTTCCTGAGAACGGGATCAATACTCGACGAATTAAACAAATCTGATTCCATTACGCACTGATACGAAGGAATCTGTATCTTGGTAAAGGTTAAGTTGGGACAAATTGGACAGATTGTCCGCGAGTGCGAGTAAGGTCGTTCTGACTTGGTATTGAACCATGCATTTGAAGGACAGTGTCGATAATGTCCCCCCTATTATCGGACTAGCGACGACAATGCGCAAGCACTTTAATCCACGGGGTCCCATCGGCCCATTGATACGAATTTCATCCAGTGGCCTGCAGCATGCGAGGCGCAGCCATTTTGGGCTTCCACAAATCACTAACTTTCTGAGGGAAGTTAGGTTCCCATGCGTCGTTGTAGGGTGCTGGGAGTCAATTGAACACCCGAGACCCTCCATTTGGACGCCTGCAAGTACACTTTCGGCTCCCTTTGACAAATAGTTGTCAATGAAAAGCGAACGCAGCCGCACCAGGCGAGATAGAGCGATTGCTATCATTGAGCTATAACCATGTTTGAAGACAGAATCAACAGCACATGTGAAGTATTGGACTCGAGACGCGTAAAACTTTGCATTCGGAGAATCAGATGCAAGTGCTTCCAAGCAACCAAGCATTGAGATTCCGATTATAAGGACATCTTTGTAGATGACGTCCGCCGATAGAAGAAAGAACCACCGCGACACTGTGATGTACCGTAGCTGATCTGCCCTTTCGAGTAGTCCATGGATATGACCGAGTAACTCCAAAGGGAGTCTAGGAATTCGAACGCTGGACATTTCAGTTCAATAAAAGCACGTTACCTATGGCGTTATATACTCTGCCACAGAGTCGTTTGTCCCCACGGATTCAAAGTCGGTCATGGATGCGCGGAACCCGATTTAGACAATCGTAAGGCTGTCCACGAGTCAACTCGCGAGTTGACTCGGAGCCGCAAGGCAAGTACTCACAGTACCAAAAGCCAAACTCGGACTCACATGAGTTTCTTGGCACGAGTGACTCGGATCCACGAGTCAAATACTCACAAGGGTTTGTATGCTTTTAATCTGTGATATCTCTATCAATATACCTTTGTTTAGTGTTCCTTTCATGGATAGACCCTACTTAAAGCAGATATACAGCACTAGAGGGCCGTAAAGCCTTGTTTAAGGCCTTTTTACAAGTACTCATGGGCCAAAATCCCAAACTCGGACTCACATGAGTATTTTGGCACGGGTGACTCGGATCCGCGAGTCAGGATACTCACAAGTATTCCCACGGGTCTACTTGCAAGTACTCGCGAGTAGGGCTGACTCGTGGACAGCCTTAGACAATCGGACAGCCCTTTTGACACGGTGCGAAGGCGCCGTCTCTATTAAGGTTTCATGACGCCGCTTGTATCTAAAAGCAGCCTTTTCGGTACTGCAACAGTTTGGAAAGCTTATTCCAAGGATTCCAACGTGTAAGGAGATCAAGTTCCGGCCATGACAGACACTAAGCAAATTCGCTGCGAAGCTTATTGAAATAACTCGTTGAGACCGCTTCGGGTTCTATTAATCCCTCAGCGACCGTTGTAGGCTAATGGGACTTTTAGTATATAAACCCGCGATC